CTTTCATAACACCAACAGATACAACCTAACAAATATATTTGTATTCACGTATGAAACAGATCCATTTAAACACTTACCGTTTATTTGTTGTAAGTGTTTCAGTCGGTGGATAGCAGCCACACGGAGTGATACATGGGCGAGGACTGCGCCTGTGTCAGGTCACTGAAACAGCCTGAGGTATGGCGCTAGGTCACGCGTGATGACAAGGCACTCCTCAATGCGGTTCATTTTTGAATTTTCGAAATCGATCCAGAACGCACCAAGAGTTCTACGCGTTGATGTTTTCGATTCTTGCGTGACAATAGGGACTCCTACTTCAAAATCTTCTCCGTTGTATTTCTGCATTCTATGAGCGCCTAGTGGAGTGTCTTGTTCTAATTTAGATTCACCAACTAGGTGTTCCTTTATGCGGAGGCAGAGCGGTCTACCCGTTTTGCCAATGTATTCGTCCCCGCACGCTTTAAAGAGATGAGATAGACTGTACCCGAGCTCACGCAATCACCGTCTCTACTGTTAGGGAAAATTATGCAGTTTTTTGTTGTACATAGACGGTCGTACAGGCGGTTGCGAACTATCTGGCGTCTTAGAGGAGTCCGGTGGTCTTTCTATCACTCTTACGGAATTCTCTAGACCGGCCCTTATTAAGCAGCGTTTTATAGCTGCATTTATTTCGTTTGAAATAAAGGGCAAGAGGAACGGAGCCTTGTTCTCGCTAGAATTATCGCTCTGGGGCGTGGTTTTTCCTCTATGCCTTTGCCGAGAAGCTACAGTTTCATAACCATTTGAAATGGCTATTTCAGCGCGCCAGTTTCGAGGATTCTTCCCTCTGCTCTCTATCTGTGTACACGCTGGTGGCGGTTCGAAACATATTTCTTATGAGCGCCCTTTTTGTGTGTGAGGGATGAAAGATGATGTAATGAACCTCTATATTCTTACTGCTTGGCTTTCGATACCATTTTGTGAAGCAGCCGTTTTCGGATAGGCTAATTTGAACGTTTAGAAATGGAAGCCAGTTTTCTTTCAGTTTCTTACGGGTGAATTTTATGTACTCTGAGGATTCGTTCAATAACTCAAAGCATTTGTTCATTTCCTCTTGTGTGGAGCACATGAAACAACAATCATCTATATATCTACAGTGGTGTAATGTCCTGAGACTGATTAGTGGTGCTTCCACTTTAGAGATAAAGGCAACGGTAAGGGTTGGTGCCAGCCGCCATCTCCTTGCCAACCCTCTAATTTGCGCGCAATATTTCCCTGACCATCTGAAGATTGATCAGTTTCAACGGACCTTTAAGAGGACCATAAGCTTCTGAATCGAAAAGCTATACTTGTTAATTGCTCCTTCTTGTTGCTCAAGGACCTCGCTGATGGCTTGCATTTCGGAGTCGTTCGACACGTTAGTGTAAAGAGCGGTAACGTCAAACGACTCCATAACGTACGCGTTTTTGAGACGTGCGTTGCACAGACGGTGTAGGAACATTTGGGTGCTCGTAAGATGGGCTGGTATGTGCTTAAGGAACTGGTTGAGGATTAGATTTATAAACCAAGCAATTCTATTCCTAGACCCGTCTTTACAACTAATGATGGAGCTAACTTTAAAGGTGGAGGGGTCGGTAGACGCCAGATCATCATCGGATACTAACTTATGGGTCTTGATAAGTAAGTATAAGACGGGACATGTTGGCACTTCGATCTTAGGATGCGAAATGTCTGCTGGATTTAAGCCTGCTGCGCTTGCCATTTTGACCCATTCGTTGATCAGTTCTCGATTTTGACTTCTGAATTCCTTTTCAGTAGATGCCCGATAAAGAAATGTCTTCAAGATGTTTTTCCGTTATATCGACATCTAACTGGCGAGGAATTGCTACAAACACTTCACCCTTATCACTAACTGATAGTCTAACAGTTTTCGGTTTTACTAGTTCTCGAACCTGTCTCATATCAGATTTTTGCGCTGCTGTAATGTTGGAACTAAACTTTTTCACGCGAGAGTGGTTAAGGAGTTTGAGAGTTTCGTTCGAAAATATGCGAAATTTGATATCTACTTTGTCGTTAGCGTCTTGCCGTCTGTAGAAAAATCGAGGAAAAAGTGGTTGTGGTAATGCCCTACTTCTCGTTGTTCCTTTCCAATTCGTGTTCCATCTCTAGCGTTGCTGCGAAGTCGGCCTTGAAGCTCATGCAGACTGCATGTGATCCTACACAAAGTTTCTTTAGAAATAGGTTGCGCTGGTGAGAAACCTGGACCCAATTCTAATTGCTAACGCGCGTCGCCAAGATGAGTTTTGTCTCCTGACACGGTAATCCTTAACTTCTCAGGCACATTATCGACCACATTTTCAGTGCTAGCGCTTTCGTAAACGATTTTGCTTTGTTTAATTGAAGCTGGTTTTTGCGAATGATCTAGTAAATTTTGAAACTTCCTGTTTAAGTTTACTTTAGTATTCGACCTAATAGAATCGAAAATTAAAACTGACTCACCCATTATTCCCCTCCAGAGGAAATCCTCCAAATACTGAACACAGTAAGATTTCTTAGGACTTGCAATTCTTCAATTGCGCGTACATGGTGTCTTGTTTGCATAGTAGTAGAGAGAGGCGTAGTAGTTGCGTTTCGATGTCCAGTACTAGTTGGCTGTCCCTTCGTAGGCCGCATACATCGTGTAGTCGTTTTCGTTTGATGAAGTTCGGCACGACTCGGTGTTTCAGGCAGCGGCGGAGGAAGAGTATCGTTTGTCCAGCTAAGACAATTTTTTTTGTCTTAGTGACAGGACTTCTTTTACAAGTCGGAAATATTCTGCTGGAACTTCACGTAGCAATTCCCAATACCGACTTTCTGTTAACCTCGGCATTGATTGATAATTCGATGTTTTTCTTAAATAGGTAGACACGAAGCTGTTTCTATAGAATTTATTAGGATACAATAGCTGACGTTTCGGCGGTTTCGCCTTGTTTTTAAATTCTTGAGATTGCACGAAATTGATATACGTATCTATTTCGGCTAACGTTTCGACGTCTTTCCTTTTATCAGAGCCGATGATCCGTGTAGGTGATCCACAGTTGTTCGTGATCTGGATGTTCGTCTTTTTTGTCGAACGCAATCTTCTTCAGTGAACACCGCATGAATGAAGCATGCTCAACCGGTAGTTAACCGAAATAGATATGTATATCAACCTCGTGTAAGCCCAATAATTTAAAAACATTTTGATTACCATATTTCTGTCTTAAAATCCTAGTAAAAAATTCTGGTCACCAGTTTCACGTTAAGAGCCACTGCAAGAGCGGTGTACTTGAGCACACAAAACATTCCTCGAGAACGTCTACTTATCTTATCAAACGTCACCTACATTAAGTATATGCTCTTCTTAGCGGCATTCACTTTTATAATGTAGTGCGCTGTATTTCAAACCGTTTGACACAACAACAGCGCACTGGCTCTATATTCATCCCTATTTGTTAACCCTGGTAAATATTGCAAACCCTGCCAACTCGACCTTGCGACCTTCTGCAGCACGTTCAAGCGTGAGTAGCGTCAAGGCATTGGCTTGCAGACTGGTCTCACCATCAACATAACCCTTTGCTTTTCTATCTTATAAAGTAGACTTTAATTGTTTAACCATATATTGACATAACCCATATTTCCGTTATCGCTTCAAGCTTCGTATATCTTGCGCACAGGTCATTGCGTTATTGTTAGTGCAATTTCGCACGTTTACAACCTCGTCCACTCAAGCGTTCCAAATTTCGTTCCGCGATAGTTGCTTTAATTTTACCTACAGAAACGGTTTAAATACCTTGGTTTGAGCGTCAAAAAGGATCTGGTATACTCACGTATCAAAAGGGCCATCACAAAGAAGCAATTTCGACGTACTAGTTTTCAAAATTCTGAAGCGAAACACAGGAAATTGCATTTTCGCCTTCGGCTTGTGTTTCATCTCTTATTCGTCACCATCTGGGGATTTGCAACTTCGCAAAACGTACTATCCCGTTCCAGATTCAGCAAAGAATAGTTTTAAGCTATGACAGTTAAATCGAATGTACGTTACACAATAAAACGTCTATTTCTGAGAGGAAAGGCGTGATAGCAACTGTTTTTCTATCATCTTTTATTTGGAGGGATGCAAACTAAAACCGGCTTTTAGTAATGTTCTAAAATGAAGACCACAACAAAGTAGTGTAATAAATACAGAGGCCGATTACCACCACCATCGTATTTAACATCGTTAAAATCTGATGATTCTGCACTCCGTGGTTAGGTTTCTGTCTTTGCCACACTTTTAGGTACTTTACGCAATGCTCTAAATTAAGAGAATAAGGTTTCCCTATTACGAACGATTTCTGTAAACAAAATAATCAGACTGCTGGCTATTTGGAGTTTTCTGGTTTTGCAGGAAAATGTAATATTTTCTTTTTGTTTTTATTCAAAAAAGCAGACCAATACGTTAAAGACCAGTCCCAGTTTGTACAAAACCTCCTGCCTGAGCGTCTTCTCATAACCTCTCTTTTATCTTCTTAATAATTTTTTTTATATTTTTAACATCAGAGCTACTTTATGCTTCAAAAGCTATTTGCCACTGTAATGATTTCAATTCTAATAACATCATTGACAATAAAATAGCGGGAAGATAGTTCAATTCTGACTTGAGAAAGCAAATCTAAGTTTTCTTTTTCGCATTTGCTTCTGTTCATTGAGCATTTATTGCTGACTTAATGGTCAATACCTAAAACATTCAATAAATTTTGTAGAGCTGTTTAATATTTTCTAAAAATTTCCCGCTAAAAAATTTCAAACTCCAGTTTCCTTCAGAATGAAGCTCCTCTATATCTCCGCGTTCTTCTGCTTGTTGGTCGCGGCTTGCGGTCAACTAATCTCGTCCAGTCTTTATAACGATGGTATCGCAACACTACCTGAAAGGCAAGATTTTTTTTTGCATATCCTATTAGCCCTATTGCTCGTTTACAAGTAATTACTTGAAACGATTGCAATTCACTCGCTCCTTGCAGTGCACGTATCAAGCGACAGTTTGGATGGGGTGGTGGATGGGGCCGTCCATTTGGAGGTGGATGGGGTGGACCATTTGGAGGTGGATGGGGTCGTCCATATGGAGGTGGATGGGGTCGTCCATATGGAGGTGGATGGGGTCGTCCATATGGAGGTGGATGGGGGTAAACATCTGAGCTGCCCGTTATTAGAGGGGCTCCAATGTAAGCAGTGTCATTGGATATGTCTCTTTTTGGTATATTTCTGTGAGAGAAGATTTCGATGAATTTATCTGTTGCATTGCAAATTCAGGATATGAATGTTTTCTTCACCAAACCATCTTTTCGTTAGAATCACCAACGAGTCCGTTTCAATTCACTGTTACCACTCGAATTGTTAGGTACACTATGTTGTGAATCGTCAATAAACGATGATTTATGAAATTGAAGTTTTATGTTGTCGACCTACATAAAATAATTACCATTAAGGTTTTAGCTCTTTTAAAACGAAATGATGTGAAGGTATTGCAATAGTAGAAATGCAGTTAAATATTCGCAAGCTCCTGTTTCAGAACAGATCTGGGCTAACTTAACCTCCCACCCCAGAATGACAGCAGGCGAGCCTGTGGATCTTTCTCTAATCTGTAAAGAATGGTAGCCGATTATGATGGAGACCTAGGGACGCATTAGCAGGGCTATCCCAAAATTTCAGGGAGATTCAAATCAACCAACATTTAGCGGCAAAACTTACGCAATAGCGTGACTTCTGGTGGGAGTCGTGTGAAGTGTAAATAATGGTAGTTTCAAAACATAAACCACTACATCCAACTCGTGGCAAACTTTACTTGTTTCAGTGAAAACTTAGAATTTGTAAATAGCGCACCTACCTACCTTGCGCACCACCGTACTTCGGACCACGCCATGTATACGAAATATTTTTCTTCCATTTTATTGCTTCAATGCTCAGTTTTCTAGCACGAAAGTAAATCAACAGGCAAAATTTCGCCAGCAGTACAAGACGTATTTCCCAATGTATAACTTATAGAAGCTTCCGCTCATCCGTTAGAATTTCAAGAGCTTAAAATCTCCTCGTCAATTTCTGAAAATTCTTGTTCTAGAAAACCCATATTTCAAGAGATAATGTATAACATCCTTTATGCAGTTATCGTAATAGACCAACTCCATCATAAATCTGCAATATTCTGAGCTCTAGAGCTGTTTGAGTGGTCTCTAAATTGTCGTACGTTATCGATTCGTCGCGAGGCGTTTAAAATCCTGGAGCAACAGTAGAAGCAGCACGTTGAAACGAAGGCCTACACGGATTCGAGGAAGACCAATCTGATAATGAATAGCTCATGAACGATTACGCTAAACCGCAGAGCCGAAATATTTCTTGAATGTCCTAAATGAGAAATTCTCCTTGATATTGTGTGTTTGTGCCAGTTGTAACACAAAGGACAGCCTTCCGGTTCATCATTTCTGTGGTCGCATGTGAGATGGTAGTGTTAAAATACGTGTTTGTGAATGAAATAATTGTGTAATGCAACAGGCTGAAATAGTTGAGCATCATGGTTTTTTATGAAGTGTTCGTGATAAAATCGGTTAGTAGTTTTGAAATGTATTTTTCGCTCACCTTTTTTGTATAGACAGGCCATGGATGATGCTCTGGCGTGCGCGATTAGCTTACAGCCTTGTAGATACCATTTGAACCTTTTCGTTGAAATCCTCATAGTTTGATGAAAAAAATGGATAAGGCTTTCGGCATTGATCAATCTCTGAGGGATGCGCCATGCATTCTACTTCATTAAACATTGTTTGGAGGTGGTCGAATGCATATTTGGCCCCTTACAACTCACAGTGGCCTACCGATCTATCGACCTAGCGCTGCTTTAATCCCAGTCAAGTCTGGTACCAATTTGCCGAGCCAACCCTGAAGGGATGGAAGGTTTGGTGGACCATGGGCACAGCGATCGATTCCACGTGTGTGTTGCATGGCACCTCCGACCACTGCGCCACATGCTTCCCTCATAGTTTAATTGGCCTTGAAAAAGCACTTTGTGGACTTTGGGAGAGTCTCGTTCCATACATTTGCCACGGTTCGTGCAGGTTGCTGTCGCTAAATAGAAGTCATGTTCTCCTCTCATGTGATATCACGAGTTAATTTCTTTCACGCAGCTGAATCGAATATTTCCACTGGAAATCCTTCGAAGTGTAAACATTGCCATTTGCTGCAAAACACCTGCTATTCTTAGTTACGCAATACAATCCTCCGTCAACTTTTTTATTAACTGCCTTATTACAATTTTTTACGTCAGGGTATTATGTGTGACTCACCCACAATGATGCTTAGATATTTGCAAAACTCCGGGTCGCAGGTGTCTGCGGCGGGGGACGAGCGCCCTATTAACCTTTCCGGGGAGTAACGCGTTCACCACCAAACCATGCGGGTCCTTCGTTTCGTCCGTCTTTCGGCTAGTTCTATCGATATTTTGCCATCAGCAATCACTCGTCAACGAGGACGAGACAAGCGAAACAGAGGAGTCGCATGGTGTAGTGGTAAACGCGTTAGCCCCCAGAAAAGGTAATAGCGCGCTCGTTCCCCACTGCAAGCACCTGCGGTCCGAAGTTTTGCGAATTCATTGTGGTTCAGTGAACTGTCTCTAGACGGCTAACAACAGTAACGATAGTAAGATTGTATTTGTCGGCCGTTTTTGCTTTTCTATAAACAGAAAAATTCTTGCAGTCTATTGTCCTTAAGGGATCATGGAAGGCAATGTCAAAAGCCATTGCGCTTTTGTTTTAGACACGGAATATTTAAACACTCTCTATGACGACTCGTGCAGCCTTTGTTTTGATTCAGCATAAATGGACTTTGGTGTGGCTAAGATTTGTCGTCCTCCTTTTTAAAGCCGTCGAACTCAGAGTTCATGGTGTAGGGAACAGTTTTTTCTTTGCTGCTATAACAAATGTTCATTTGAAATTTTGACATATTTTTGCTAAAGTTTACAAAAAACAACTTCTCCTCCATAATTGATTAAAAAATTTATTGTTCCTTTACGAATATACTTATTCCACGACGATGTCATATCGTCACAACCGTTTATGTCCGCAGATTTACTGGATGAAAGCATCGTTCTCACTTTATGCATTAGCGGACTTTGTTTAGGTTGAAACTTCGTCATACAAATGCTTGGAAGGTCAGAACATCACCATCTCACGGTCAAATAGTAAGCCTTTGGTTGAGGTTTGACTTTAACATCTGTAACATCTGCGTCATTTATCGAGTGATTCGTCAAATGACTCGAGTGGGAGCTAGAAGAGTCTCTGGTTCTCGCTATCGCGTCGGGGATTGACCCAATGAGTTCTGCTGGCTCTAAGGACTAGATGAGCGTCATATCTTTCTTCTAGGAGATTCATGAAGAACGCTTATTTTTGCATCAGTGGCCTTCCTGCAATGCGTTTGACGTCTCGAGGAACACAGTCGTTAACAGTTCCTCGTTCCTCCATCGGTTTTCGATTTGGCACATTACGTGACCGGAACACCTGATTTTCGATAGTATGGAGTGAATAACAGCGCCAGTGATCCTTACTCGTTGACGTCAGTCTGTGGCGAACTCCTGAACCTTCCCGCAACAGATCATTCCTTCTAGTCTGCGAGTCATTCGCTAGAAAAAATAACAAATAATGTTGTTATCGGCCCAAATTTCTAACCTACTCACCAACTTTGCTCGTCAAATAGTACAAAATGTACGTGAGAAGTGTTGACAAGCAAATGATAACACATAGGAGCGTGGAAAAGAAGCAGCAAAATTGTGGGTACTTAAAGAGATGCAGTTGTGATCTTGCCTCACTGTTCCTCATTCTTCGGGATATCTTTGGACCTGTTCTTGCTTACAAAAGTAGTTCTACTATTTGACAAAGTTTGACATACCGTTATCTCCTTAAGTTGTGAACTCTTATAGTACAAAGTTTAGTCATAATCAACATTCGTTTATACTGTTGAGCTAACACGAGGTTGATAAAGATGTTTATTCCGCTAACGTTTCGACGGTTTCATCTTCATTAGAGTCGATGATTCGACTCGTTGGCCTACATTGTTTGTGTTCTTGAGGTGACGTCTTCCTTATGCATCGAGCTGGATGTTCCTCAGTGCAGCATCTCTCACAATGAGCCATACTAACCCTGCGATGCTCTTCCATACAGGGCCGTTGTTACTGATATTGTTATCTGTTGATAACACTTTGTTTTCTTGGTTATAGTGATAGTCTCTCAGCGATTGATAGGCGCGTGTGGCACAGTGGTCGGAGGTGCCCTGCAACACACACGTGGTATTGACCCCGGCGCCGATGGCCCACCAAGTCTTCCATTTCCCCGGGGTCGATAAATTGGTACCAGACTTGTCTGGGATGATAGCAGCACTGGCTCGATACATCGGTATGTCACCGCGAGTCACTGTAAAGACCAGGTATGCATTCAACCACCTCCTAAACGATGTTTAATGATGTCGAATGCATAGCGAATCTCTCAGGGATTGATCAACGCCGAGAGCTTTTGAAACGTCTAGATCACTATGACTGAAGCTTTAGAGCTTCTAGACGAAGAGGCGATCTAGTGGTTTTATGCTTTGCAATTTTTCAGATGAACAGCCACGTCTCCTGATCGTCTACGTCTTGATGGCTAGCCATTTGCTCCATCATATTGAAATATTTTTTTTGAAATATATATCCCAATTTTAACTTATTATTTACTACCTATTGGAATTCTTTATGGCAGGATGTTATATGTAATACGACCACAACGATGCTGAGATATTCGCGAAATTCCGGACCGCTGCTCTCTGCGGTGGGGAAGGAACGGTTATTCCGGGGTCTAGCAAGTTCACCACCACACCATGCAGGTCCTTCTTTTCTCCTGTCTTTCAGCCAGTTCTATCGAACAGTGCCATCAGTGGTCTGATCCTACAGTATTGCACATATCTCAGCATCATTGTGAAATATATCCTTTCAAGCTTTGAAGAGCCAGAAAGGTTTGTTTTTCAGAAATTTATATTTCTGGCGATGCTATCCAACAAAATATTCTATCAAAGTCTCTTTACGTAAAAGTATGTCCTATTAATGCAACAATTACGGTGGGTTTCGTGCTTATGCAATGAAAAGCATCCTCTGACAGTATAGACCAATAATCGCAATA